TTTACAAGCAAAAAACGACGACGCTGCTTCTTAAAAAGTGGACATAAAAATTGATCCACAGGATAAATAAATACCAAATTTATACACAAAACCTGACAAATTACTCGACAATACAACTAATGAAAACACTCGCACGTAATAAACACGTAAACGAAATACACACGGTAAACTCTCTGACAATAAGTTTTGCGATAAAAATGCATCACAGTCAGTGATGTTACTTTTTGCTCGTGTTCCTCATTCCAGCGTCATGTACATTGAAACGGAATTAAAGGCCGCCAATTTCAGCCTAAAAGTTTCCTGAGAGCCTTGGGATGAGGCGATACTAGGGTATCGCAGTACTCAAACCGTTAGAGCTTTCAAATTAGTTCCGCGGACTGCTAATGCGTAGTTTAGTAACACCCGACCTGAGCGAGATGTAACATTGAAACACGTTGACGAAGGGTCCCCTGAAAGGAAAGGACAGTGCTCAAGTTTGGACAAAACATTCTGATTGAGGCGTGATGTAAAAATAACTGGGGCGTAGTCGATGACAACCCATATCTCCATTACACAGTTGTATTACATTACATTACATTTAGACGTCAATTTTTGAAAACCAGAAGATCGACGATCTAACAAATAGTTCCATCTGAGTGAGAGAAAGCCTACAAGTTCTTATAAAAGAAAAAGATAAAATTCTTTTGGGAAAGCACGTTTACAAGGAGGTGATCAAAAGTTCGTCATGCTCAGAGATTTTTCGTGAGATTTTTCCTCCGGCACTGAACTGTTTACATGAAAGAGGGCAAGGACGCTTAACCTTGCGGTTGCGTAAGCACTTAATATCTACTCGCAAAAAGATTGAAAATTCTCAGTCTTACATGAAAAACTAGAATCTGATTGCATTGCCGTACACATACGCACGGGATGTTGGAGATAAGTTTAAACTGAGAACGTGAATTGATGACCCTTTTCTTAACGAAGGTTTCTGCGATTTCGGCGTAAAATACTGAATTATATTTAGCTTGATATGTAATACCGGCTTCTTACTGCACGTGTGCCAGTTGTTTTTTTACAGGCCAGTATGAACATATCGAAACTGCTTACTCAAGAAAATATTTCGCAAAAAAAAAAAAGTAAAATAAATACTCCACCTTCAATTGAGTTCTATTTTTAATTCACTTTGTAATTTAGCGCAGTCTACAAGAGTCACGGGTAATAGCTGACTACTCAAGCATAAAATAAGAACTATAAAACCCGGGTGGTAAACATGAACTGTGCATAGGAAGGAAGGTTCGATAACCTTCCAGAACTCGCAAGTGGCGGAAAATGAAAGAGTTGGCATCAGTTTTTGGATTTGTAGCCCTTTTCTTCTTATCATGCTGTAAGTATATGAAGTGTTTTGGTGTAATTGTACTTAATCAGTCTATATAAGTCGCCTGTTTACGCTGTATTTCCTGAAGGGTCAATCATCCTTTTCCGTGTGGCTATACCGAACTCATTAGTACGTGCTTCATTCCTCCTTTACGGTAGACCGCTTCAGTTCAGAAAGTCTGACTTGCTTTACTTTAAATGCTGCATTGAAAAAAAAAGGAAGATATACGTGAACCAGTTTTCTGATAATTTCTTACGGATGCGCACATTTGAAAACGAAGTTTTTTGGGGGGGGGGCCTTGCTAATGGTCGTTGCAACTGGTTTTTACCCTTTCATTGTAAGAAGTCGATTAAGCACATTTTCGTGGCTCGAGTATCCTTAACGAAAAACCTGCAGTTTCGAGAAATGTTACAGCCGCCGAATGGTTTACAATCGTCGCTAACTGAAAAAAGGGAAGCTACTTCCAAACCGTTCTAAGCTTTTTCTCGGTTCGAAAACATTCAGTTTTCATTTGTCAGTGTCTTTTAGTAACTAACACATTCTAGCGGCTCCCGGCTAATGGACGAACACGCGGCGAAATTTTGTAGATTATCTTTAAAATGGACGTTCTATTTTATTTCCTGCTTAGGCCTGAATAATGGCCGGGTTCCTTCATAGGAAATTGGAAAAGCTCAATATGTTTTGAGAGAAACTTAAAACCCAGATCAGAGACGATTATCTCCAATTTAAATAAATTAGAACTCTTACTTTCGATTCTGCTCACTGTTTTGTTTCCAAAATTATTATTATCTATTATCTATTGACCAAAGTTCAGTGAATTAGGATGGAAGATGTAGCTAAAACCATTTTTCTTATTCGTTTCTTTTTTAAGAAAAAATCCGTTTATAGCTCGTTTCAACGGGAAATCCCCTGCTCTAAACCGCTCACTGCTTTTTTTCTTCCATAACCGCCTTTATTGACCAAAGTTCAGTTATTAGCATGGAAGGTGTAGCTCAAATTATAATTTTTTTTTTTTTTGACAAAGAAAAACCATTAAAAATCAATTAAACGGGAAATTCCCTGCTGCAGATTTGAACAAAATTTGACACCTCTTGTCTTGATTACATAATCAACTTTATTTTCTTTTCCTCTGCTTCTACTTCGTGTGAAAGAAGTAGACTTCATCGGGTGTTATTAAACTGCGCATCAACAGACCGCGGAACCTCCGGAACCTCTGTGAATATGGAAATAAGTTCACGCTGCGCATTGGGTGAAATATAAGGATTTGCATGGAAATGAACATTCGCGCCCTCAATCTTTGAAATGTTTGGTCTAGTTTTGAACAAAGATAAATTGACCCCACTCGAGAACTTGTGTTTTTTTTTTTTTTTTTTTTCGTGTGAACTGTTTGGGCTGATTTAGGGAAATCTAGCTCGGTTTTAGTTCAGCTGCTCCTTTACGTAATCTTTTACAAGAGATGTCTGTGAGTAACGCCAACCAAACGAATCCATTGGAAGCAAAACGCTGTGAGTTCGCAAATCCGGACGCCCCGATCACCCCCGATCTACAGGCATGAAACCGAAGTCACGCGTAATTGTGTTCATCATTTATTTAAAAAAATCCAAACGCCTACAGTACTAAACATGAGTACGAAAATACGTATTAGAAAGCGAGAACTTACAAATAAACTCAAAATAAATATAGCTTTACAGGCATACAACGACGACGCTGCTTCTTAAAAAGTGGACATAAAATTGATCCACAGTACTAAATTTATACACAGAACCTGAAAAATTACTTGAGAGTCGATAATGTTACTTTACGCTCGTGTTCCTCATGCCAGCGTCACTGTACAATGAAACGGAATTAAAGGCCGGCAGTTCTAACTTAAAGGTTTGCTGAGAGCCTTCGGATGAGGATGTTACTCGGATACCGTTAGAGCTTTCAAATTATGGTTCAATTATTAACACCCGGGGTAGGTGGCTGCTAATTGCTCCTTATAACATTACACACCCCTGCTCGGTGAATATTGCCACAATTAAAGTTGGACGTCAAGGGCAATGAAGACATATTTTTTTTAAAGCGTGATATACAAATAACCAAGGCGTAGTCGATGACAACCCATGTCTCTAATACACAGTTATGTAAAACTGCATTTAGACGTCAATTTGCTTCAAAACAGGAGATTGACGACCTAACAAATAGTTTCATCTGAATAAGAGAACGCTTAGAAGTTCTTATAAAAAAAATGATAACATTATTTTAGCAAAGCACGTTATAAAAGAGGAAGGTGATAAAAAGTTCGTCATGCTCAAAATTTTCATGAGATTCAGTTACCTCGCTAGACCGATTACATGAAGGAGGGCAAGGACGCGTAACCTTAGTTGCGTAACCACTCATTTTCTACTCTCAAAGAGAACGTAGGTTGACGACCCTCTTCTTAACGAAGATCTACTTTCACATGCATGTTTAGACGATTTCCTTTCTAAAAATTTGTACGGTTCATTCGACAAATCAAAACAAAGCAAAAGGCGTGCATTTCAATCGCCAGGAGGCCTTTTCTTTTTGCGAGAAATAGAAAATAATTCAGCACAAGGTCACAATTCCACTGTTATCTCTGTTATCTTTAGGTGCAGAGGACCAAGGGAGTGATTGTCTCTACGTATCCCATCTCAGCGGTAAAGACTTGCCTCAATGTGGCTCTTTTGCTGTGCCCTGCCGGACATTACCACAAGCGCTACTTCTAGTAAACGATGGTGACAAAATTTGCCTCAATGGAACAAACAGTGAGTCAAATCCATACGAATGTTTGAAAACGGTTGGTCCCAAGGGAACGAAATTGAGAGCTGTGGGGAAAAGAGTATCAATACAAGGTGTGTCCTCCCCAGCACACATTTCATGTGGCTTAGTATTTGCATCAAGGTTGAAATATGGCTCTGTCAAGGTTTCTTTCTCAAACCTTGTATTCAACAATAGTAGGTATGGATTAGTTTTCCTCAATGTGCCCTCCTATGATGTCGTCATCTACAAGTGCAAATTTATCAATTGCTATAAGGCCATATTCATGTTGTGGGAAGGACGTCAGGGTTCTTCTTTCATCAGTCAAAAGTCTTCACTTGAGGTTACTGATAGCAAATTCCACAACAACGCATTCAGCATACGATTTGGTCCAAAGTTCAAAATCGGTTCCGTTAAAGTTTCTCTGTCAAACCTTCTTTTCGACAATGGCACTTATGGTGTAGTCCTCGTCGATGTGCCTTCTTATGATGTCGTCATCTCCGATTGCAAATTTAACAATTGCTATAAGGCCATTTTCATGTTGTGGGAAGGAAGTCAGGGTTCTTCTTTCATCAATCAAAAGTCCTCACTTGAGGTTACTGATAGCAAATTCCGCAACAACACAATCAGTATAGAATTTGGTCCAAAGTTCAAAAACGGTCCTATTAAAGTTTCTCTGTCAAACCTTCTTGTCGACAATGGCACGTATGGTTTAGTCCTCGTCAATGTGTCCTCCTTTGATATCGTCATCGCCAAATGCAAGTTTTTCAACTTCTCAGAGGCAGCCGTTGGTCTGTACTGGAATCAGATTAACTACGTCATCCGTGAAAAGAGTAGTCTCGTAGCCACTAATAGTAAATTCCGGTATAATGCAAAATCTATTCTTGTCATGCTCCCTAACGACTTCTTTGAGATGACTGTATCAAGATGTCTTTTCCAGAATGCGAAGGGACGATTTCATGTCACAAATGATGATAGAAGTATAAAAGGTGCCGTGTTTGTCCGTTCCCAAGCTAGTACCGTTACAACGTATCCTATCCGCGTGTTAGTCTCAATTACTGACTCTATTTTCCAAGACCTTGGTCATAAAGACAACAGCTTCGCTGTATCCATAAGAGTTGACAACCTCTTTGGCGATGGGAATGTATCATTATTTAACACGTCGTTTCTTAACAACGAAAATTCTGTCTTTGTGCACGGCGGGTTTAAAGTAAATTTGACTCACGTGAGGGTTCATTCCACATACGGGTATGCTATCATGGCCAGTGCTCCCCCTAAAACATTAATCAAAGCACCAGGTGTAAAGGTCTTCCTTGAAAGGTGCGTCCTGGTGGACAACCGGATTGGCATAAGGATGTCAACGACTACTTGCTTAGATAATACGGATAGGTATTGTTCAACGGGCGACCAGACGCTTGTTGTGAGGAACAGTCTTATACTGGGAGGTAAAGAAACATTAGGCACTGGTGATGCAATCAGATTTGCAATGAGTTTCCCTAAACTGAACTATAGCCGTGCAGTTTTGAAGCCAAGCAAGAAAGAGGTGTATTTGTCGCCAGATTTTGAGGCAAAACTACTTCTTGAAAACGTTACTTTTCAAGGGTTACATGATTGTGCTCTTTCAGTCAGTATAGAAAGGAATGTTAGTGGACTTATTTCGGTGAAAAACTGCAGGTTTCTTAACAACACTCAGTATGTGAATCGACTAGATGAACGAGCAATTGTCCAAATTGAGTTCACGAATGTCGATCCACCCCAATGTCCGCATAAAAGAAAAGGAAACAAGAGTGAGGAGCTAATGTGGAACAAGACATTTGAGTTACCAGTAATATTTGAGGATACTCGATTCGAGAACAACGCTGGTATCGCTGGAACTTTGAACTTTTTAAATGGAAATGCCACGTTGAACAACTGCACCTTTAAGAACAACGAAGGAGTAGCCATGGGAGGTCAAGTGTATCTGAGGGCAGGTTTTGGAATTCTTAACATCGTTAACAGTAGTTTCCACCAAACAAAATCGGCGGAACGTTACCGTGGATCGAGAACTGGTTGCTTTCTTCAATCTGAGAGCGCTGGTCAGCTGAAAATTGAACAATCGTCCTTTATAGCTGATGACAATAGGCAATACGATCCAATCTTCGCAGCTACGAAAAGCAGTTCCATACTGATCGACGACTCATCATCATTTCGATGTCCAAGCGGAAGGAAAATCACTATCGAGAAAATCACCGAAGAAGACGGATTTGAACTTGTAAAGGAAACATTTGGGAAGAGAAGTAAGACCTGCTGGATAAGAGTGCAATATATCAAATTACTCTGCGAAGAATGTCCAGATGGTTTCTACAGCTTAAAGAGAGGATGGGCCAGTGGCTTCCATGTTCACGAGGAAACCAAGTGCATCAAGTGTCCCTACGGAGCAAAATGTGAGCGTGGAAACGTTTTAGCTCAAGAAAACTTTTGGGGTTCTAAAGTTAATAGAACCTCATCTACTCTGAAATTTATTCCATGTCCATTGGAATACTGCAAAACTCCAACTCATTCAACTACTCAGACGTACAATGGTTGCTATGGTAGCAGGACAGGTGTATTATGTGGCGAATGTGCTGAGGGATACAGTGAAGCCTTGTACTCTACGTCATGTCAAAAAAACGAAAAGTGCCATGATCACTGGTTTTGGTTGGTGAGCCTGATTTACATACTAGCATTTGCACTGTACCTTGTTTTTAAGCCTCCTGTCTTCAAGTGGCTATATCGTCAAGGTGTTTGGTTTAGGAGTACATCCAATTCTAACAGCAGACTGGAAGCACCAAACGGAGATAGCAGAGATAAACACGATGCTGGGTACCTGAAGATCACCTTCTACTTTTATCAAGTTGCCGACATATTGATAATCACTTCCAAAGAGACAACTGCTCACGTCATCCCTTTTGTTACACCAATCGTTGCACTATTTAATTTCCAGGTAAAGAATTTTAAAGGCAGTATTGGATGTCCATTTCCTGGTTTCACTGTTGTCACCAAAGAGCTGTTTTTCTGCCTGAAGTTCCTGGCAACCTTGCTCTCCATTCCCCTAATTTACACCATTCACCGAGCTATAAGCAGATTCCGCCCCATTCCAAAGCCTTCGCTGAGACTATACCTGGCTGTTGTTCTGGAGACTCTGTTACTTGGATACAAAACCCTCGCAGATACATCCCTTACTCTCATGCACTGCGTTCCCGTAGAGCTGGAGTGGCGTCTGTTCATAGATGGAAACATTCAGTGCTGGCAGTGGTGGCAGTACTTACAAATTGTCTTCATCTTGGCATTTGTCATCCCCCTTGTTCTCGTCCTTTTCTGGGGATCGCTGATGCTTTCCAAAGACAAAGTGTCCGCCAAAGAGTTCCTGACATCGTGTGCATTTCCTATACCCTTTCTTTTTATCTGGTTGTTTCGTTGTTGCAAGAGGAAAGGATATACAAGCCAGTATGAATACCTCCCGGGCAGCTCCAAGGATACCGATGACATAAAAAAAGTTCTTTACGACCCATTCCGTTCAGCCTCTGATGGTGATCATGGTACTTTGTACTGGGAAAGCGTTCTCGTTGGTCGAAGGTTTCTTCTGCTAATTATTAGTACCTTTATCATCGATCCTTTGAAAAGATTCGTTTGTTTAGGAATTGCATGTGTTCTGATCTTGGCGCATCATCTCTTAATGAGGCCATTCCGCGATAGAAAGGCCAACATCTGTGAAAGTCTGTCTCTTGTGAGTTTGACTGCTATCTGCACGTTCAACTTGGCCAAAGTCACCATTATCGCTCAGGGACTCGAGCCTGCTGGACCGGAGATAATCTTTTTTCATGCTCTGAGGTGGGTCGAGGTTGCCTTGCTTGGCTTCCTCCCAGCCATGGCCTTCATCCTTGTGGTTCTTGTGGCTTTCTCTCAAATCGTTCGCCTGCTGTACCATTGCGTGAAGCTTTTGCACTGATGCACCGCGATCACTGTGTAGCTGAATTCGGAAAAGACATTTAGGATACTGGTTATGGATTAAAAGACACTTGTCAGTGTTGTCAGTTTGGGGACATTAAGCTGCATGTAGAGTTTGACTAATTTGATACATCATTATTAACAAGAGTGTTTAATTAATAGCTTGAGTAGAAGGATTACATGGGAACTTTTCTCCTTAAATTTAAAGTGGCAATTCAAAACACTGTTCAGACAGTATCTTAGTAGAGGTTCATTAAAAGCTTTAGGAGCTTGTACATATATGCTTTTAAAAGTGGAGAACGAGTTTTTCATTTAAGCTTGGCTGTCATATCAGCGGTGTAATAGTACTAGGATTTTTTCCATCCGAGTAGAGACAGTTACATGAGTTTACAAGACAGTTTTCCCAAGATTACGTAAGGAACCACCTCACATTCGGTGCAAGAATACTGAGTGGAGAAAACTTAATGACGATTTATTATCGGAGATAGCCAGTCTTTGAGCTTACATAATGTAGGTGACAAAGAATTTCTTATAACTTTACCGAAAACTTATTTGGATGAGCACTTGTATAATACTGTGCGGGACTAGTTTCCTCTTTAATTTGGAAGCAATTTTAGAGCAGTTTGTTTATAAATTTTGTTTTCTCATACTTGAACTATTGTTATTCGATTATTTTTTAGGGTTTTAGTTTCTGAAAGATGCCAGTTTTCGAGACATTAATCAAGAAAGTGAGTGCCATGCTCTTGCATAGTGCATGTTGAAGTCTTAGGCCGTTATTGTTACCTGATTTTATATAAAGAACCTTGTTTTTAATAGAAATATATGCGCCATTATTACGCGCTCGTTTGCCTAGGGAAACCTCAATCCAAGGGACAGCCCTTACGGGGATTGTGAAAGACAAGTTGGCTCTGTGAGTTACCTAAGTAACAACTCTTTAGTTATATGGCAATTTACTTCTACGGCTTATTCTGGATTATTCTGGGTTATAGTTTGTGACCAATGATTTCACATTTCCCCAGATGGAGGCGTCTCAAATGAGGGGTTCCATCGTATTCAAGTCGACTTCAAGTTAAAAGCACCACTCTGCAACGAAATATCTGGTGTCCCTGTCAATAAAATACATAAATAAGCTTGGCCATCTTCAGTTCTGCAGAAAATCTAATTTGCTTTGCTTTAAATGTTGCGTTGAAAAAAAAAAGAAGGCGGTAACCAGTATTCTGATAATTTCTTGTGGATCCATACATTTGAAACAAAGCTTTTGGTCGTTGCAACTGGTTTTTAGCCTTTTTATTGTTAGAAGTCGATTAAGCATATTTTTGCGGTATCAGTATACTTAACGAAAAACCTGCAGTTTTGAGGAATACTACAGCCGCCGAGTGGTTGAGCAGACCACGGAACCTCCGGAAAATCTGTGAATATGCAAATTCTTTCACGTTGCGCATCTTCAAAATGTCTGGTCTAGTTTTAAATATGGATAAATTGTTCCCACTCAAGTGGTTGTTCTCTCGCATCGTGTGAATCGTTTAGGCTGATTTTAGGGAAACTTAGCTCAGTTTTAGTTCAGCTGCTCAGCCCTCTACATAATCTTTTCCAAGATATGTCTGTGAGTAATGCCAACCAAACGAATCCACTAGAAGCAATACGCTGTGAGTTCGCGAGTCCGGACGCCCCGATCACCCCGAAATTCTACAGGCATGTAACCGTGGTCAAGCGTAATTGTGTTCATCGTTTATTTAAAACCCTCAAAGGCCTACGGTACTAAACATGAGTAGGAAAATGCATATTAGAGAACGGAAACTTACAAATAAACTCACAATAATATTTACCTTAACGGTACATAACTTTACAGGCAAAAGACGACGACGCTACTTCTTAAAAAGTGAACATAAAAACTGATCCACAAGATTAAATTTATACACAAAACCTGACAAATTACTCGACGATACAACTAATGAAAGTATAAACACTCGCACGCCTAAGCTTTCAAATTATTGTTCGATTATTGTTTAAGTTGCCGAACGTCAAGGGCAATAAAAACATATTTTTCTTTTAAAGTAATCTTCTTTATACACGAAAACGACCTCTTAAATAGCAGACTTTTTAGTTTTATAAATTATTTCATTACTATTCTTTGAAAAAAAAATATAGGGTTTCGCAGGTTCCGCAGGTTCTGCAGGCTCCACAGGTTCCTTAGGTTCCACAGGTTTTACAGGTTCCACGGGTTCCACAGGTTCTGCGGGTTCCGCAGACTGCTGATGCGTAGCCTAGTAACACCCGACCTCAGCGAGATGCAACTATGAAACACGTTGACGAAGGGTCCGCTGAAAGAAAACGAAAGCGCTTACGTTTGGACAAAATATTCTCATTAACTTTCTCACTAAAGCGTGATGCAAAAATAACTGTCGATGATAACCCATATCTTAAAAAAACAGTTGTATTACATTGTGTGTAGTCGCTAATTTGTTAGAAACCAGGAGATTGACGTTAGAACAAATAGTTTCATCTGAGTAAGAGAACACGTACAAAAACGCTTATAAAAGAAAAAGATAAAATTATTTCAGGAAAGCCCGTTTACAAAAAGGTGATCGAAAGTTCGTCATGCTCAAAGATTTTCATAAGATTTTTCCTTCGGCGTTAGACTGTTTACATGAAGGAGGGCAAGGACCCGTAACCCTATGGTTGCGTAACCACTCAATATCTGCTCGCAAAGAGATTGAAAGTTCTCGATCTTACATGAAAAACTAGAATCTAATTGCATTGGAGTACACATGCGCTTGGGGATCAATTAAACTTGAGAACGTAGATTGATGACCCTTCTCCTAACGAAGATATGCTTTCACATGTTTCAACGATTTCGGCGTAAAATAATTATGATACGTAATGCTGGCTTTTTACTGCAAGTATGCCAATCGTTTTCGTAAGAACGTATGGAAACGGCTTACTCAAGGATATATTTCGTAAAAAAAAAAGACACCATCTTCAATTGAGTTCTATTTTTAATTCACTTTGTAATTTAGCGCAGTCTGCAAGAGTCACGGGTAATAGCTGACTGCCCAAGCATAAAATAAGAACTATATAACCCGGGTAGTAAACATGAAACGTGCATAGGAAGGTGACACCTCAACAAGTATGGTTCGATAACCTTCCAGAAATCACAGGTCGCACAAAATGAAAGAGTTGGCATCGGTTTTGGGTTTGTAGCCCTTTTCTTCTTATCATGCTGTAAGTATATGAAGTGTTTTGGTGTAATTGTTCTTAATTAATCTGTATAAGTAGCTTGTTTACGCCGTATTTCCTGTAGGGTCGATCATCCTTTTCCTTGTGACTACTGAACTCGTTAATACTTGCTTCATTCCTCCTTTACAGTAGACCTCTACAGTTCAGAAAGTCTAATTTGCTTTGCTTTAAGTGCTACATTGAAAAAAAAGAAGATTTACGTGAACCAGAATTCTGAGAATTTCTTATGGATGCGCACATTTGAAAACAGAGGTTTTTTGGGGAGGCTTTGCTGATGGTCGTTGCAGCTGGTTTTTACCGTTTCATTGTTAGAGGTCGATTAAGCAAACTCGGCTCGAGTATCCTTAAATGTTACAGCCGCCGAATGGTTGACAATCGTCGCTAACTGAAAATGGGAAGCTGTTTCCAAACCGTTCTTAGTTTTTTCTTGATTCGAAAACATTCATTCTTCATTTGTCAGCGTTTTCAGTTACTAACACATTCTAGCGGCTCCCAGCTAATGGACGAACACGGGGAAAAATTTTGTTGATGATTATTCTTAAGATGGAGGTTCAATTTTAATTCTTACTTAAGCCTGTATAATGGTTGGGTTTCTACGTAGGAATTGGAAAAGCTAAATGTGTTATGAGAGAAACTTAACACCCAGATCTGAAATGCTTGTCTCGCAATCCAAATTAAAAAGAACTCTCACTTTCGATTCCGTTCTTTTGACCAAAGTTCAGTCAATTAGCATGGAAGATTTTTCCTATTTTTTTTCTTTTAAAGAAAAGAAAATCCGTTTATAGCTCATTTCAACGGGAAATTCCCTGCTCTAGACCACTCACTGTTTTTTTCCGCCAAAAAACGCCTCTATTGACCAAAGTTCAGTGAATTAGCATGCAAGATGTAGCTAAAATAGGTTTTTTTTTACAAAGAAAAAATCCTATTTACAGCTCGTTTCAACGGGAAATTCCCTGCTGCAGACTTGGAAAGAGCTCGACACCTCTTGTCTTGATTACACATTCCATTTTCTTTTCGTTTCCTCCACTTCTACTTCGTTTGAGAGAATTAGACTTCATCGGGTGTTACGAAACTGTGGATCAGCAGACCGCGGAACCTCCGAAAACTCTGTGAATATGTGAATATGCAAATATGCTCACGTTGCGCATTGGGTGAAACATAAGGGTTTGCCATGGAAATGAACATTCGCGCTCTCAATCTTTAAAATGCCTGGTCTAGTTTTGAATAAGGATAAATTGACTCTACTCAAGTGCTTGTTCTTTTGCATCGTTTGAATTGTTTGGGCTGATTTCGGGAAACTTAGCTGCTTAGCCCTCTACACGATCCTTTCCAATATATATCTGTGAGTAAAGCCAAACTAATCCACTGGAAGCAAAACGCTGTGAGTTCGCGAGTCCGGACGCCCCGATCACACCCGGCGAAATTCTACAGGCATGTAACCGAAGTTACGCGTAATTGTGTTAATCATTTCCTTAAAAACATCCAAACGCCTACGGTACTAAACATGAGTAGGAAAATACATATCAGAGAACTAACACTTACAAAAAAAGTCACTATAATGAAAAATATTTACCTTTATGGTGCATAGCTTTACAGGCAAAAAACGACGACGCTGCTTCTTAAAAAGTGGACATAAAAATTGATCCACAGGACCAAATTTATACACAAAACCTTACAAATTACTCGACATAATTACGTAAAATCACGCAAAGGTACAAACGTCAACCAAAACGTACACGATACAACAAATGAAAAGTAAAAATACTCGCAGGTAATTAACGCGTAAACGAAATAAGCACGGAAGAATGTTTGACAATAAGTTTCGCGATAACAATGCATCACAGTCAATGATGTTATTTTACGCCGGCGTTCCTCATTCCAGCGTCATGTACAATGAAACTGATGGAATGAAAGGCCGCCAATTCCAGCTTAAAGGTTTGCTGAAAGCATTGGGATGAGGTGTTACTAGGATATCACGGTACTCAAACCGTTAGAGCTTTCAAACTATGGTTCAGTTCTTAACACTCGGGGAAGATGACTGCTGATTGCTCTTTATGACATTACATACCCGGCCTTGTATGAATGTCAACACAGTTAAAGTTGGACGTCAAGGGCAATTGAAATATACTAGAAATCTTCTTTACACCCGGAAACAAACTTTCAAACTGTGTTTTAGGCCTTTTTAGTATTATATGTTATTTCATTACTGTTCTTTTACAAAAATATAGGGTTCTGCAGGTTCCGCGATTTGTTGATCCAAAGTTTAGTAACACCGACTTCAGCGAGACGCAACCGTGAAAGACGCTGACGAAGGAAAACCTAATTTAAAGGACAAATTACCGACTACAAGGAAACGAAAGCGCTTACGTTTGAACAAAACATTCCCATTGAAGCGTGATGTAAAAATAACTAAGGCACAGTCGATAACAACCCATATTTCTAATACACAGTTGTATTTCACTGCATTTAGACGTCAATTGAGTACGAAGCGACTGTATAACAACGATGGGGTTAAATTTTTTTGCCGAAAATTTTCGAAAAAAAGTCATCGAGTTATTATGAAGAGGGGAAACCGAAACAATAACTGTCCTCTCCTCTCTTGTCTCAGACAAGTATTCGTAAATAATGAAAACTTTATTCCTCAAGGATACTGTTGCACTACAAATCCGTATTGTATAACCAACTATGCCCTTGACGTTTAGTGTAACATGAAAAGCTTGATGATGTTGGTAGGTTTTCCTGTCAGTCAATATACTTTGTTGCTAAGTCCACAGAAAAAGAAGTGTTGCACTGTTATATCAACTGTCATGCTCGTTTGAACATGAGCTGAACTGTTTAGGGTTCATAAAATAGTTATATTAGGCTTGATACGTGATGCTGGCTTTTTACTGCACGTGCGTCAGTGGTTTTCGTACAGGTCAGTAAGAACGTATCGAAACTGCTTACTCAAGGATATATTTCGAAAAAAAAAAGTGTAATAAATATTCCACCTTCTATTGAGTTCTATTTTTAATTTACTTTGTAATTTAGCGCAGTCTGCCAGAGTCACGGTCATAGCTGACTGTTCAAGCATGAAATAAGAACTACATAACCCAGTAGTAAACATTACTCATGTTATGTGTGTATAGGAAGGTAACACCTAAACAAATAAGGTTCGATAACCTTCCAGAACTCGCAAGTCACGCAAAATGAAAAATTCGGCGTCGATTTTTGGGTCTGTAGCCCTTTTCTTCTTATCATGCCACAATTACTTGAAGTGTTTTGGTTTAATTGTACTTAATTGGTCGGTATAAGTAGCCTGTTTACGCCATATTTCCTGTAGGGTCAATCATCCTTATCCATGTGGCTAACTCGTTGATACGTGCTTCATTCCTCCTTTACGATAAACCTATTCACTTCAGAAGACCTAAAAATCTTAGCTTTGAATGCTGCATTGAAAAAAAAAAAAAAAAAAAGATGTACGTCAACCAGTATTCTGATGATGTCTTGTAGATGCTTACATTGAAAACAAAGTTTTTGGGAGTCGGTTAAGTCGATTAAGCACATTTTCATGGCTCGAGTATCCTTAACGAAAAACCTACAGTTTTGAGAAATGCTACAGCCGCCGAATGGTTGACAATCGTCGCTAACTGAAAAAGGGAAGCTGCTTTCAAACCAACACGCGGCGAAATTTTGTTGAAGATTATTCTTAAAATGGAGGTTCTATTTTAATTCTTACTTAGGCCTGTATAATGGCTGGGTTTCTACATGGGAAATTGGAAAAGCTCAATATGTTTGAGAGAAACTTAACACCCAGATCAGAGATGTTTGCCTCGCAATCCAAATTAAAAATAACTCTCACTTTCGATTCCGTTCACTGTTTTCTTTTCAAAAACGCCTCTTTTGACCAAAGTTCAGTCAATTAGCACGGAAGATGTCGCTCGACCAATTTCTCTTATTTTTTTTTTCTTTTAAAGAAAAGAAAATCCGTTTATAGCTCATTTCAACGGGAAATTCCCTGCTCTAGACCGCTTACTGTTTTTTTTCTTCAAAAACGCCTCTATTGACCAAAGTTCAGTGAATTAACATGTAAGACGTGGCTCAAAGGAAAAAGGAAAAATTACAAAGGAAAAATTACAGCTCGTTTCAACGGGAAACTAAGTAAAAAAAAAAGTTATTGAATTTGGAAGGGAGTGTAGAGTTCTTGAATGAAAATAAAAAAGTACCTAATTGAAACAAATGGATATCATGAAATTTTAAAAATAGGGCCAGTATGGGCAATGTATGTAGAATTGCACTATTCTTAACGCACGTTTCTGTAAGGTTACAATTCTTTGAAGGTTTGACTTATAGGTACCAGCCCAAGCTAAATTGCAATAATACAAATATGGAAGGAATAGAATTGTATAAAGTACGAAGGGAGTGAGTAGAGAGAAAAACCTAGATTTATGAATAATTATCTAATAAAACACCCAAAAACATGGTCTCAGAAAAACGAAGAATAGGCTGCTCATTTATGAAAACTTGAAATTCAAAGGATTGCTTCTTTTGCCAAGGCTTGAATACCATAAAATTAGTCTTGGCTAAATTCAAGGAGAGCCGGTTTGCTGCAAACCAGGTTGACAATTTGTTTAATTCTCTATTTAATGTGTTAATTAGGTAAACAGGGTCATTATGGGAGATAAATAAGTTTGTATCATCAGCAAACAAGATTGCATCAAGCAGGGAAGCATTGTTCAAATCATTAACATACAGGATAAAAAATAAGGGACCAAGAATAGAACCTTGAGGCACCCCACAGGAATCCCCTGTGGGGCAGATCTCACGTTATTAAATTCGACAAATTGTGTCCTCTCAGAAAGATAACTTTTGACCCATTCTAGTGCCAGACCACGGATCCCATAATGATTGAGTTTTTCAAAAAGAATGTCGTGATTTACCGTATCGAATGCTTTCGAAAGATCTAGGAATACTCAATGGCATGTTCTTTTCTATCAAATGCAGAAGAAATTTTGTCACACAAATCGATAAGCGCAAGGCTAGGAGAGCGATTTTTCTAAAGCCATATTGATTATCACATAAGACATCGGAGTCATTGAGATAATTCATAATACGGTTTGTAAATTATTCGTTCCAAAACTTTGAAAAGCACGGTAGAACAGAAATAGGTCTGTAGTTGCTGAAGAGAGCTTTTGTCACCTGATTTAAAAATAGGTATGACACGAGCAATTTTCAAATCATCCGGAACGATACCATGAGTAATGGAGAGATTTACAATGTGTGTTAATGGAGAGGAAACGCTGCATATAGATCGCTTTATGATAGACATAGGGATATTGTCATACCCAGCCGATTTTCCCGCCGGAAACGTAGATGCGATATCTATAATCTCCTCCTGAGTTGCTAAATTTAGGAACATTGACTGAGGGAAATGACCAGGAAGAAGAAAATTCTTATACGAGGTCGTAGGTTGAATTCGTTTAGCGAGGCTTGGTCCAATATTGCTGAAGTAATGACAAAATCGATTAGCAATCTCCATTGGGTCAGAAATATCTTGATCATCAACCTTAAACACAGAGTTGGGTTTAGGTCTCAATTTCTTGCTGTTTAGTACCTCATTAAGGTGGGACTTAACCTAAAAAAGACCCCTTTTTTCAATGACTTGTCACATCCACAGTTTTTAGTTAAACCATATAAAACCATATATCACTGAAAAGCTAATGAATCACAGATTTCAGTTTTTTTCAATTATTTCTGCTGCAAGCTTGACACCTCGTCTTGATTACACATTCAATTTTATTTATTTTTTTTTTTGCTTCTACTTCGTGTGAAAGAAGTAGACTTCATCGGGTGTTACTAAACTGTGGATCAGCAGAACGCGGAACCTCCGGAACTTCTGTGAATATGCAAATATGTTCACGTTGCGCATTGGGTGAAATATAAGGATTTGCATGGAAATGAAAATTCGTGTTCTCAATCTTTAAAATGCTTGGTTTAGTTTTGAACAAGTATAAATTGACCTCACTCAAGTGGTTGTTCTTTTGCATCGTGTGAATTGTTTGGGATGATTTCGGGAAACTTAGCACGGTTTTAGTTCGGCTGCTTGGCCCTCTACATGATCCTTCCTAATATCGCGTCTGTGAGTAACGCCATACGAATCCACTGGAAGCAAAACGCTGTGAGTTCGGAGTCCGAACGCCCCGATCACACCCGGCGAAATTCTACAGGCATGTAACCGAAGTTACACGCAATTGTGTTCATCATTTACTTGAAAAAACATCCAAACGCTTACGGTACTAAACATGAGTAGGAAAATACGTATTAGAGAACTAACACCGACAAATGAACTCACGATAAAGAAAAATATTTAATTTAACGGTGCGTAGCTCTTCAGGCAAAAGATGACGACGCTGCTTCTTAAAAGTGGACGTAAATATTGATCCACAAGACTTCATTTATACCCAAAACCTCACAAATTACTCAAAATAATTACGTAATATCAAGCAACGGTACAAGCATCAACTACAAGTACACGATACAACCTAGTACTGAAAAGCAAAAATACTCGCAGGTAACTGACGCGTAAACGAAAATACAATAAAAAAACTATCTGACTATAAGTTTCGCGATAATAATGCATCACAGTCGCTGACGTTACTTTTTGTCCGTGTTCCTAATTCCAGCGTCATGTAAATTGAAACTGAATTCCAGCTTATAGGCTTGCTGAGAGCCTTCGGATGAGGCTTTTCTCGGATATTGCGGTACTCAAACCGTCAGAGCTTTCAAATTTTGGTTCAATTATTAACACTCGGGGTAGGTGACTGCTAATTGGTCCTTATGAAATTACATACCTTTGCACGGGGAATGTCAACACAGTAAAAGTTGGAAGTCAGGGGCAATGAAAACGAATTTTTCTTTTAAAGTAATCTTCATTATACCCGGAAACGAACTTGCAAACAATGTTAAGGCCTTTTTAGTTTTATGCTTTATTTCATTACTATTCTTTTACAAAAAATATAGGGTTCCGCAGGTTCCGCGGGTTCCACAGGTTCTACAAGTTCCCCAGGGTCCGCGGTCTGCTGATCCAAAATTTAGTAACATCGACTTAAGCTAGACGCAACCCTGAAGCACGCTGACGAAGGAAAACCAATAGTGCGGCTCATTTCAAAGACAAATTACCGACTACAAGGAAACGAAAGTGCTTACGTTCGAACAAAACATTTTCATAGAAGCGTGATGTAAAAATAACTAACGTGTAGTCAATGATAACCCATATCTCTAGAGGACAGTTACATTACATTGCATTTAGACATCAGTTTAATTATTTGAAAACTGGAGATCCACGACCTAACAAATAGTTTGAACTGAATAAAAGAACGCTTAAAAGGTCTTATGAAAAAAAATGGTGAAATTATTCTAATAAAGCACGTTAAGAAAGAGGAGGTAATCAAAAGTTGGTCATGCTCAGAGATTTTCATGAGTTTTTCTTCGCTCGACTGATTACGTGAAGGAGGGCAAGGACGCGTAACCTTATTATTGCCTAACCACTCAATATCTACTCGCAAAGAGATTGAGAATTCTCGATCTTAATTAAAATAATCTAGAATCTAATTGCATTGGAGAACACATGCGCCCGGGATGTTGGATATCAATTAAACTCGAGATCGTAGATTGACGACCCTTCTCCTGAATGATGTGCTTTCACATGTGTTGGCGACTTCCTTTCTAAAATTTGTACGATGATCAAGTATTTATAAATTCAATATCATTGGACAAAATCAAAACAAAGCAAAACGCGTACATTTTAATCGCCAGGAGGCCTTTTCTTTCTGCGGGAAATAGAAAATAATTCAGCACAAGGCTACAATTTGATGACGACATTTCCGTTATCTTTAGGTGCGGAAGACCAAGGGAGTGATTGTCTTTACGTATCTCGTCTCACCGGCAAAGATTCGCCTCAATGTGGCTCTTTTGCTGTGCCCTGCCGGACATTACCACAAGCGTTACTTCTAGTAAACGATGGTGGAAAAATTTGCCTCAATGGAATAAACAGTCAGTCAAATCCATACGAATGTTTGAAAACGGTTGATCCCAATGGAACGAAATTGAGAGCTGTGGGGAAAAGAGTATCGATACAAGGTGTGTCCTCCCCAGCACACATTTCATGTGGCCTAGTATTTGCATCAAGGTTGAAATATGGCTCTGTCAAGGTTTCTTTCTCGAACCTTGTATTCAACAATAGTAGGTATGGATTAGTTTTCTTTAATGTGCCCTCCTATCATGTCGTCATCTCCAAGTGCAAATTTATCAATTGCTCTAAGGCCATTTCCATGTCGTGGAATGGAAGTCAGGGTTCTTCTTTCACCAGTCAAAAGTCTTCACTTGAGGTTACTGATAGCGAATTCCGCAACAACACGTACAGCATAGAATTTGGTCCAAAGTTCAAAAACGGTTCCCATAAAGTTTCTCTCTCAAACCTTCTTTTCGACAATGGCACGTATGGTGTATTCCTGGTCAATGTGTCCTCCTTTGATATAGTCATCGCCAAATGCAAGTTTTTCAACTTCTCAGAGGCAGCCGTTGGTCTGTTTTGGAATGAGATTAAATACGTCATCCGTGAAAAGAGTAGTCTTGTAGCCACTGATAGTAAATTCCGGTATAATGCAAAATCTATTCTTGTCAAACTCCCTAACGACTTCTTTGAGATGACCGTATCAAGATGTCTTTTCCAGAATGCGAAGGGACGATTTCATGTTACAAATGATGATAGAAGTATAAAAGGTGCCGTGTTTGTCCGTTCCCAAGCTAGTTCCGTTACAACGTATCCTATTCATGTGTTAGTCTCAATTACTGACTCTATTTTCCAAGACCTGGGTCATAGAGACAACAGCTTCGCTGTATCCGTAAGAGTTGACAACCTCTTTAGCGATGGGAAAGTATCATTATTTAACACGTCGTTTCTTTACAACGAAAATTCTGTCTTTGTACACGGCGGGTTTGGAGTAAATTTGACTCACGTGACGGTTACTTCCACTTATGGGTATGCTATCTTGGCCAATGCTCCCCCTAAAACATTAATCAAAGTACCAGGTGTAAAGGTCTTCCTTGAAATGTGTGTCTTGGTGAACAACCGGATTGGCATAAGGATGTCAACGACTACTTGTTTAAGTAATACGAACGCCTTTTGTTCAACGGGCGACCAAACGCTTGTTGTAAAAAACAGTCTCATACTGGGAGGTAATGAAACATTAGGCACTGGTGATGCAATCAGATTTGCAATGAGTTTCCCCAAACAGAACTTTAGTCGTGCGGTCTTGAAGCCAGGCAAAGAAGAGGTATACTTGTCGCCAGATTTTGAGGCAAAACTACTTCTTGAAAACGTTACTTTTCAAGGGTTACATGATTGTGCTCTTTCAGTTAGTGTAGAAAGGAATGTTAGTGGACTAATTTCGGTAAAAAACTGCAGGTTTCTTAACAACACTCAGTTTGTGAATCGACTAGATGAACGAGCAATTGTCCAAATTGAGTTTACGAATGTCGATCCACCCCAATGTCCGCATAAAAGAAAAGGAAACAAAAGTAGGGAACTAATGTGGAACAAGACATTTGAGTTACCGGTAATATTTGAAGATACTCTATTCGAAAACAACGCTGGTATCGCTGGAACTTTGAACTTGTTAAATGGCAATGCCACGTTGAACAACTGCACCTTTAAGAACAACGAAGGAGTAGCCATGGGAGGTCAAGTGTATCTGAGGACAGGTTTTGGAATTCTTAACATCGTTAACAGTAGTTTCCACCAAACAAAATCGGCGGAACGTTACCGTGGATCGAGAACTGGTTGCTTTCTTCAATCTGAGAGCGCTGGTCAGCTGAAAATTGAACAATCTTCTTTTACAGCTGATGACAATAGGCAATACGATCCAATCTTTGCAGCTACGAAAAGCAGTTCCATACTGATCGACGACTCATCCTCCTTTCGATGTCCAAGCGGAAGGCAAATCACTATCGAGAAAATCACCGAAGAAGACGGATTTGAACTTGTGAAGGGAAGTGAAACTTGCTGGATAAGAGTGCAATATGTCAAATTACTCTGTGAAGAATGTCCAGATGGTTTCTACAGCTTAAAGAGAGGATGGGCCAGTGGTTTCCATGTTCACAAGGAAACCAAGTGCATCAAGTGTCCCTACGGAGCAAAATGTGAGCGTGGAAACGTTTTAGCTCAAGAAAACTTTTGGGGTTCTAAAGTTAATAGAACCTCATCTACTCTGCAATTCATTCCATGTCCATTGGAATACTGCAAAACTCCAGCTGATTCAACTGCTCACGCGTACAATGGTTGCTATGGTAGCAGGACAGGTGTATTATGTGGCGAATGTGCTGAGGGATACAGTGAAGCCTTGTATTCCACGTCATGTCAAAAAAAGGAAAAGTGCCATGATCACTGGTTTTGGTTGGTGAGCCTGATTTACATACTAGCATTTGCACTGTACCTTGTTTTTAAGCCTCCTGTCTTCACGTGGCTGTATCGTCAAGGTGTTTGGTTTAGGAGTACATCCAATTCTAACAGCAGACAGGAAGCACCAAACGGAGATAGCAGAGATAAACACGATGCTGGGTACCTGAAGATCACCTTCTACTTTTATCAAGTTGCCGAGATACTGATGATCACGTCCACAGAGACCACTGCTCACGTCATCCCTTTTGTTACACCAATCGTTGCACTATTTAATTTCCAGGTAAAGAATTTTAAAGGCAGCATTGGATGCCCATTTCCTGGCTTCAATGTTGTCACCAAAGAGCTGTTTTTCTCCTTGAACTTCCTGGCAACCTTGCTCTCCATTCCCCTAATTTACGCCATCCACCGAGCTATAAGCAGGTTCCGCCCCATTCCAAAGCCTTCGCTGAGACTATACCGGGCTGTTGTTCTGGAGACCCTGTTACTTGGATACAAAACTCTCGCGGATACATCCCTTACTCTTATGCACTGCGTTCCCGTAGAGCTGGAGTGGCGTCTGTTCATAGATGGAAACATTCAGTGCTGGCAGTGGTGGCAGTACTTGCAAATTGTCTTCATCTTGGCATTTGTCATCCCCTTTGTTCTCGTCCTTTTCTGGGGATCGCTGATGCTTTCCAAAGACAAATTGTCCGCCAAAGAGTTCCTGACATCATGCGCATTTCCTCTGCCCCTTCTTTTTATCTGGTTGTTTCGTTGTTGCAAGAGGAAAGAAGATACAAGCCAGTTTGAATACCTCCCGGGCAACTCCAAGGATACTGATGACATAAAAAGAGTTCTTTACGACCCATTCCGTTCAGCTTCTGATGGTGACCACGGTACGTTGTACTGGGAAAGCGTTCTGGTTGGTCGAAGGTTTCTTCTGCTAACTATTAGCACCTTTATCACCGATCCTTGGACAAAATTTGTCTGCTTAGGAATTGCATGTGTTCTGATTTTGGCGCATCATCTCCTGATGAAGCCATTCCGCGACCGAAAGGCCAACATCTGTGAAAGTCTGTCTCTTGTGAGTCTGACTGCTATCTGCACGCTCAACTTGGCCAAAGTCAGCATTATCGCCCGGGGACTCGAGCCTGCTGGACCTAAGCAAATCCTTTTCCATGCTCTGAGGTGGATCGAGGTTGCCTTGCTTGGCTTCCTTCCAGCTATGGCCGTCATCCTTGTGGTTCTTGTGGCTTTATCTCAAGTCGTTCGCCTGCTGAACTATTGTGTAAAGCTTTTGCACTAATGCACCGCGATCATTGTGTAGCTGAATTCGGAAAAGACATTTAGGATACTGCCTACGGATTAAAAGACACTTCAATGTCGTAATGGTACTTTTGCTGTTGTTTTTTCTCTTATGTCAGCGTTTTCAGTTTGAGGACATTAAGCTGCATGTGGAGTTTGACTAATTTGATATATCCTTATTGATAAGAGTGTTCAACTAATAGCTTGAGTAGAAGGATTATATCTGAACTTTTCACAGTAAATTTAAAGTGGCAATTCAAAACATTGCCTTAGACAGTATCTTTGTAAAAGTTCATTAAAAGCTTTAAGAGCTTGTACATATATGCTTTTAAAAGTAGAGAACGAGTTTTTCAGTTAAGCTTGGCTGTCATATCAGCGGTGTTAAAGTGCTAGGATTTTTTTTTCATCTGAGTAGAGGCAGTTAGATGAGTCTACAAACAGTTTTCCCAAGATTACGTAAAGAACCGCTTCAAATTCGCTGAAAGAATGCCTAGTGGGGAAAACTTAATGACGATTTATTATCGAAGGTTGCCAATCTTTGAGCTTACATAATGTAGATGACGAAGAATTTCTCATAACTTTACCGAAAACCTATTTGGATGAGCACTTGTACAATACTGACCGAGACTAGTTTCCTCTTTAATCTGGAAACAATTTTAGAGCAGTTTGTTAAGAAGTTTTGTTTTCTCATACTTGAACTATTGTTAGTTGATTATTCCAAGCTATAAGCTTCTCAAAGGTGTCAGTTTTTCGAGACATTGAATCGGCAAGGAAAGTGAATGTCATGCACTTGCATGGTGCATGTTGAAGTCTTAGGCCGTTATTATTAGCTGATTTTATATAAAGAACCTTGTTTCTAATCGAATTGTATGCGCCATTATTACGCACTCGTTTGCTTGGGGAAACCTCAATCCAGGGGACAGCCCTGACGGGAATTGTCAAAGGCAAGTTGGCTCTGTGAGTTACCTAAGTAACAACTCTGTAGTTATATGGTAATTTACTTCTACGGCGGGCTTATTCTGGATTATTCTGGGTTATAGTTTGTGACTAATGATTTCACATTTCCCCGGACAGAGGTGTCTCAAATGAGGGGTTCCATCGTATTCAAGTCGATTGCAAATTAAAAGCGGCATCACTCTGCAACAAAATATCTGGTGTCCCTGTCAATAAAATACGTAAATAAGCTTGGCCCATCTTCAGTTCTGCAGAAAATCTAGTTTGCTTTCCTTTAGATGCTGCATTGAAAAAAAAAAAAGAAGATACTCGGCATTCAATATTCCGATAATTTCTTAGGATGCTTTAATTTGAAAACAAAATTTTTGGTCGTTGCAAACGGTTTTTACCCTTTTATTGTTATAAGTCGATTAAGCACATTTTCGCGGCTTGAGTATTATCGATCCTTAACGAAAAACCTGCAGTTTTGAGAAATGCTACAGCCGCCGAGTGGTTGAGCAGACCACGGAACGTCCGGAAAATTTGTAAATGTATATGCAAATTTGTTCACGTTGCGCATTGGGTAAAGTGTTAGGATTCGCATGGAAAGGAACATTCGCGCTCTTAATCTTCAAAATTTCTGGTCCAGTTTTGAATAAGGATAAATTGACCCCGCTAAAGAGGTTGTTCTCTTGCATCGTGTGAATCGTTTAGGCTGATTTTTGGGAAACTTAGCTCGGTTTTAGTTCAGCTGCTCAGCCCTCTACGTAATCTTTTCCAAGATATGTCTGTGAGTAATGCCAATCAAACGAATCCACTGGAAGCAATACGCTGTGAATTCACGAGTCCGGACGCCCCGATCACCCCGAAATTCTACAGGCATGTAACCGAGGTCGAGCGTAATTGTGTTAATCATTTATTTAAAAACATCCAAACGCCTACGGTACTAAACATATTAGAGAATTAACACTTACAAATACACTCATAAGAAAGGAAAATATTTACCTTAACGGTGCATAGCATAGCGAGAAGCTGCCTCTTAAAAAATGGACAAAACAATTGATCCACAGGACCTAATTTATACACAAAACCTGTCAAATTACTCGACATAATTTCGTAACATCACGCAACAGTACAAACATCAATCACAAGTGCACGATACAACAAATGAAAAGTATAGACACTCGCACTTAATTAATACGTAAACGAAGTACACACAGAAAACTATTTCTCAATAAGTTTTGCGATAACAATGCATCACAGTCAATTATGTTACTTTTTGCTCGTGTTCCTCATTCTAACGTCTTGAATATTGAAGCGGAATTAAAGGCCGCCAATTTCAGCCTAAAGGTTTGCCGAGAGCCTTGGGATGAGGCGTTACTAGGACACGCGGTACTCAAACCGTTACAGCTTCCATATTATGGTTCAATTATTAACTCTCGTGGTACACACCCTTGCACGTTGAATGTCGCCACAGTTTAAGTTGCCGGACGTCAAGGGCAATGAAAACATATTTTTCTTCTAAAGTAATCTTTATACACGAAAAAGATCTTTCAAACATCGGACTTTTTAGTTTCTATTTTATTTCATTACTATTCTTTGACAAAAAATATAGAGTTCCGCAGGTTCCGCAGGTTCCGCAGGTTCCGCAGGTTCCGCAGGTTCCACAGGTTCCGCAGGTTCCGCAGGTCCCGCAGGTTCCACAGGTTCCGCAGGTTCCGCAGGTTCCGCAGGTTCCACAGGTTCCGCGGACTGCCGATGCGTAGTTTAGTAACACCCGCCCTCAGCGAGATAAACTATGAAAGACGCTGACGAAGGGTCCCCTGAAAGAAAACGAAAGTGCTCACGTTTGGAAAAAACATTCTCACTAAAGCGTGATGCAAAAATAACTGGGGCGTAGTCGATGACAACCTATATCTCCATTACACAGTTGTATTACATTACATTACATTTAGACGTCAATTTTTTTTAAACTAGAAGATCTACGATCTAACAAATATTTCCATCTGAGTAAGAGAAAGCCTACAAGTTCTCATAGAAAAAAAGATAAAATTATTTTGGGAAGTCACGTTTACAAAGAGGTGATCAAAAGTTCGTCGTGCTCAGAGATTTTTCGTGAGATTTTTCCTCTGGCACTAAACTGTTTACATGAAAGAGGGCAAGGGCGCTTAACCTTATGGTTGCGTAAGCACTTAATATCTACTCGCAGAAAGATTGAAAATTCTCAGTCTTACATGAAAAACTAGAATCTGATTGCTTTAAATTTAAATTGAGAACCAATTGATGACCCTTTTCTTAACGAAGGTTTCGGCGATTTCGGCGTAAAATAGTTATATTAAGCTTGATACGTAATGCCGGCTTCTTACTGCACGTGTGCCAGTTGTTTTTTTACAGGTCAGTATGAACGTATCGAAACTGCTTACTCAAGGATATATTTCATGAAAAAAAGTGAAATAAATACTCCACCTTCAATTGAGTTCTAGTTTTAATTCACTTTGTAATTTAGTGCAGTCTGCAAGAGTCACGGGTATGCTCAAGCATAAAATAAGAACTATAAAACCCGGGTAGTAAACATGAACTGTGCATAGGAAGGAAGGTTCGATAACCTTCCAGAACTCGCAAGTCGCGGAAAATGAAAGAGTTGGCATCAGTTTTTGTGTTTGTAGCCCTTTTCTTCTTATCATGCTGTAAGTATATGAAGTGTTTTGGTGTAATCGTACTTAATTGGTCTATATAAGTCGCCTGTTTACGCCGTATTTCCTGAAAGGTCAATCATCCTTTTCCGTGTGGCTATACCGAACTCATTAGTACGTGCTTCATTCCTCCTTTACGGTAGACCTCTTCAGTTCAGAAAGTCTACGTGAACCAGTTTTCTGATAATTTCTTATGGATGCGCACATTTGAAAACGAAGTTTTTTTGGGAGGCCTCGCTAATGGTCGTTGCAACTGGTTTTTACCCTTTCATTGTAAGAAGTCGATTAAGCACATTTTCGTGGCTTGAGTATCCTTAACGAAAAACCTGCAGTTTCGAGAAATGCTACAGCCGCCGAATGGTTGACAATCAATCAATGAATCAATTTCCCGGTTCGAAAACATTCAGTTTTCATTTGTCAACAACTAACACATTCTAGCGGCTCCCGGCTAATGGACGAACACGCGGCGAAATTTTGTTGATGATTATCTTAAAAATGGACGTTCTATTTTATGTCTTGCTTAGTCCTGAATAATGGCCGGGTTCTTTCATAGGAAATTGGAAAAGCTCAATATGTTTTGAGAGAAACTTAAAACCCAGATCAGAGACGATTGTCTCGCAATTTAAATAAATTAGAACTCTTACTTTCGATTCTGCTCACTGTTTTGTTTCCAAAAACGCCTCTATTGACCAAAGTTCAGTCAATTAGGATGGAAAATGTAGATAAAACCATTTTTCTTATTCGTTTCTTTTTTAAGA